AATTGAGATTGTTCGCTTTACAATACATTTTGTGACTTTGTAAATGTTTACAGGTAAAAATTTGGTTACACTTCAATACAATCTTATTTCTCTTTGTAATGAAACAATTAATTGTAAAAATCTGTTTAAAATATTTTATATACGTATTATCAACGTTATAGGTATAAAAAGTTATGATTCAATGTACACTTGGGTGTAATCAATGATACACTATAGTCTTGTACCATTGATCACATATCAATAAAATATAAATAGTACGTATATATTTTTTCTAAAACTGTGTAACATTTAAATTCTGAGAAAATAATAGTGTGTAGGAATAATGGTCTTATTAAGAGAGCCTCCTTCCCCACTAATATTTTCGAAAAAGACTTTAAAAAAATGTAAATTGTGATCCAAGGTCCAACAGTCTCCCTTAATAATTGGTAGATATAGAAGAAGAAAATTTAGTTAATGAAGATAAAGATTCTGATAACATTATTATTTATTGATACATTATGAATTGATATGATATGAACCTTATGAAAAGAATACAAAGAAAATGATCATTATTTTTTAAATTTTTAATACCTATTTTAAAAATGTTTAACTGAAGAAGTTGATTATAAATATTACTAAAACATCAATTTTGATCGTTATTTGGTTATAACTTAAGAATACATATAGAATAGTTTAAAATTTGCCATGAAATACTTCGATGTCTCGCAGAAAAAATCTCAAAATGAAATATTGATTTAATATAACTATTTTAGCAATGACAATATATGTATTTGACAAGATAGAAATATGAAGACAATTCCAAATGAAAATAGACAATCTAGTTCTTAATTTTAACCACTATAAATGGATTACGTATTCTGTCAATGTAGCAAGAGAATCTGATATTTAAAAAAATTCTTAGTCTAGGACTCTAGGTCCTAATTTTGCTATTCAACAACAACTTACCTCTTAACGAATTTTTGTGTGACCTAGAAATAGCCATTAACAAAGTAGACATTTCATCTAGAGGTAAATTAAGAAAGGAGGTTTGCAATATATTATTCAATGAGAAACAACAGACTTACTAATTAAATCCAACAAATTTATTTTGGATCTTCATTATAAAACTAGAAAATTCCTTAAAGAACATTCTAATAATATAATTGTTACCACTGCTGACAAAAGCAATGTCACAGTCATTATGGATAAACATACAATATATTTACAACCAAAAAGTCATAACTTCCCAATGATACATGTACATACAAAATATTAACCAAAAACAACACTAAATCAGTTCACACATTTATGAATAATCTTGTTCAATTGGGGCACAACAACAAATACATTAGTTCTCAAGAAAAAAATGCTTTTACAGTGTCACATTGACACTATTCCCAAATTGTATACAATACCCAAATTTCACAAATATGGAATACCCATTAGAACACTTATATGAACAATATATAATGCCCTTTGCAATCTTTGCAGATTTTCCCACAATATTTTAAAACATATTACTGGACAAAAAAATTAGTCACATAAAAAATAGCGCGGATTCCAAAAATAAGATGTCATTAAAATTGTCCCAGATACAATTCATCCCAGAACAATTCATATTGTCCCAGATAACTACCCAGATTTAGTCATTAGATATGCAATGTTTATTTAACAACATGCACAATCGTACAAGAGTGATTGCTTCTCCTGTAATAAGTAAATTCGGAAAATCATAAATATAATAATCTTACACGATTATAATATACATTTACAAATACAATTATATTTAGATGGAGACAAATTATTTTTTCCTTGTAATGCTTAAACCAAAGGTGAAACACTTTTTCGAACAGATGAACAAACGAAGGAGAATGAAACATTTCGAAATTTTTACGTGATTCTTAGTATTTTGACAATTCTATAAAATGCTGTGAAAATGTTTTTTGACAACACATTTTGAACCGTAACTGATAAGAATTTGCTGAAATATAGGTAAACGTTTTAATTAAGATATTTTGATCTTTTTTAAAGCCATTTTTTAAAAAGACAATAAAAATGAAATTCAAAATTATCGGCCAATTTGTCTTTTGTCAGTTTGCTTGGAAATATTAGACATACATCCGTACTTTTCTATATTCGAATGGAAATATTCTCATGAGAAAGCATTTTCAGACTCTCAACATTGATTTACAAAATCAGAATTCACGAAAACAGCATTTTACTTTCTCGCAATACTACACGTAGTGAAGAGAAAATATTGTAGTACTGCGGGGCAAAAGGGCAATTTTTCGATAGAAAAACTCGTATTGTCGGGGTCTGGGGACGAAAAAGAGGGTAAAACTTATTCGTATATGCAGTAAATACTCAAACAGGCTGTGCAGACAAATTCACGTTTTGAGAGTCTTTGCCGAAAAATCGATAGACAGAAAAACGATTGTCTGTCCGTCTATCCGTTCGTCCGTTCGCCTGTTTGTGGTCAACATCAGCACTGAAACCGTTCATACGATTTTCTTCAAAACCAGTGGCAGGTCGTAGGACGCACGTCGCACAACTTCCAGAAAATCGAAAAAAAGTATTTTAATATGTTAGGAATTTTCATTTTTCCTTTTAATGATATTCAATATTTAAAATATTGCAGCAATATCCATGTATGTGAAACAATTAGGAAATCAAAGAGGGCTCCCTCCCAAGTCTGCTGCTCACCCAGATAATGCCCCATGACATGCCCTTAACCCTCGAACCCTATTGTGACGTCATGGATACTCACAGCGAACACAAACACAGAGCTTCATATAACAAATATATTTATTACAAAGAAAACACAACACATATATACAATTAATTTCCTTCTTACACCCTAGCTCTGATAGACCTACTATCCCCTGATCGCGGGAGCGATCCAAACCCAATTGATGATAGGTTTCTATTGTGGCATTCGCCACTCCTACTTCTGAAGCGCGCAAAAAGCCTAGCTTCCGTGACCGGATGTCACACTGGGACACAAAGTCCGTACTGGCGTACCAACTGATGGTTTGCCTCGATCGCAGGAGCGATCTTACCCGATTGAGAATCGGCGTGAATCGTGGCACTCAACCACTCCTCACCTCGGAGCACGCACACAGATCGCTCCCACGTGACCACTGTCACCCAAGAACACAAAGTCCTCCACAGGCTCGTCAACACGTGACTTGCCTCGCGAGCCCTGCCCGCCTATGCACCGACGTGGCGTCAAGTTTTGTGCACATGCACGAGGATCTCCTACTGTCTCCAGAACCCACCCACTAGCTCTGTACACTCCGTTATGTAGTCGAGGCCCACGTGACCTACTACGTCACCCCCACCGCCACCCCACCGCTGTTCTAACAATTAAGGGTTTCTAAAGACCGGAAGACCCCAAAGCTTTGTGTCTCCCGTTTCCGCGTTCTTGCTTTACGGAAAAACCCTTCTTTCCTTCCTGTGGCGAGGAGTTTTCTCCTACTAATCCCTTACCAAGCATCCCCAAATAGATGCCAAGAGGCACGCTGGCTAATACGTTCTGGGTTCTGTTTGGACCCCAACCATCATTAATTTTTACTTTATTGGTAGTTGTAAGAAGAGAACGTTATGCCAACTATTATTTACGGGCGCTTGTAACGAAAAAGTTGATAAATCCTTTTCCCATGTATAGAAAATTACTTTCTCTAACACGTAGTGTAGGCAGAATCTATATTTTGTGGGTCCTTGATCTAGAAAAATTGACGGCAAAACATCTCTGTCTGTCCGTTTGTAGTCAACGCTAGCGCCAATCGACCTGGCTGATGTCGCGGTCTCTTGAATTTGAAACGGATATTTTGATGGTACTTTACATGCAACCCTTGGGACGTTTTAAAAAATTTCAAAAAATGGTTTCATCGTTTTTTATTAAATTTGGTTGTTGGATAGTGTGAAGAACGTTTAAGAGGAAACGGTACATGTATCATTTTTATAAAAAATGTGATTTTTCGAAAATTGCACAAACTCAATTTTTTTCGGCGTCTTCCTGCAGCTAAAATTATGAAGAGAGATTTTTTTCCCTTAATGAATTCTCTTCCGTGAAGATATATTTTAAAATAAGGTCATGTACAATTTTTCAAAAATTTAAGTACTTTTCGCGTAATTTTGCGTGAAAGTACGGGCGAGAAAGTACGCGCTGTTTTAGCACCACTAGTTAGGCCATAGAGTCTTTAGTCTCCTTCGCCTCCTTAGTCTATAGTTAGGTTATAGTCTATAGTTACCCTATGTTTTCGCATCGTGCTGCTGAACAAAAGCACACAAAATGTTTGTCAAAAGTTGCAGATACACTCAAGAACAACAAATAAAATATTCTCGAATAACACTGCAATAAAGAAGTAAATAACTATTCGAAGAAGAGGAGGAGTTTATTGCCTTTTATTATGTCGATAAGGCATTTTTTCATTAGTACCTTAATCAGTTGTGGATCCAGAGACAAATTTTGGGAGGGGAATCCCAAAATGTTTTGGTTGAGTGTGTCATGAAATAGATTTTGTAAAATGTCGCAGGCTACACTTAGACCCTCTTCGACCGCCACTGTGAGTACATCTGTAACATATCCAAGTTACACATTTGAATTTGTTTTGATAAAAAAAAATACGTCATTTTTCTGAGCTTTTAGGGCATTTTAAAAACATTTTCAGAGTTTTGATTGGCCATTTTTGGCTATGTTTTAGGTCATCAATACCCTACTGTGAGTCACGTGTGATCGATAAATTAAGATAGTTTTTTATTCAAAATGTTTTGGTCGAACGTGTCATATTACAGATTATGTAGAATGACACGGGTTAAACTCAGCTCTTGCTGCGATACGATTTTATTCGTTTTAATAATTATCCGAAAATATTTTTGCTTGAAATCTTCGTGCTAGTTAAAATTAATGATTACTGGAAAATGGGGGGCGGGGGTATCCCTCATCCCCTCTTCCTTAGATCCGCACCTACTCTATGAAGTGAGATCTAAGAAAACTACAATTGACTACAATCTACTCATGGAATTCGGATGTCGCCGAACAGAGAATATTCTGTTTCTTCCATTTACTCCTGCGTAGCAGCACCGTCCAAGCGACGGCGCGAATAACAAATGAGGACACGAGCAATGGCGGCTTGCACCCCGCCCAGCTGCTGCAACCGCCATGTCAGTATGCATTATTATCACTGACGGGTTGGCAACCCTGAAAAAATAGAAGATTTGTGTACCTTGGAGACGAGACGTATCCACCAGACCCACTGGGGGGGAAAGGACCTAAAATCATGGTGTGAACATTTAACTAAAATTGGGGGTCGTATTTCGGTGTCGTAGTAACCAAATGAAAGATTTTGGCAATACGTTTTGGACTTTAGTGTTCACCGTCCTCAATGTTTCCTAGTTTATAGTGATTTGTGTGTAAATTTATTGTAAATATGGCTGTTAACGGTGATTCGACACCATCAGAAATAAATGAAATTAAAAATCTCTTATGGGGGCCGTTCGTTAAAGAAGAAGTATTTAAAAGGTGGGCACAAGGTAAGGAACATATTGCTGAATCATCATACAACTCATTGCATTCCTGCATTTGATTTGCACGTAAATTGACAGATCAATTGTTTCCAGGTTTTCACTTCAGTAAGGATGAGCCAACAGCTCTGGAACAAGAGGAGGGAGGACCCTGTGCAGTACTTGCTCCTGTCCAAGCTTTTATTCTGAAAACCATTTTATCTAAAACTGTGGGAAATAATTGGAGAGAAGTATGTGCAGGATGCTTTTTATGAAATATTATGTGTTCCATGTTCTATACACAAACATAGTCAGCCACTGTCAAATTGTGCACCAAGGGAATTGACACTTCATTCATTGTTTTGTAGATAATTATATTGGAAATCAATATGTTGTTGTAACTGAGTGTTCTGTGTTTATCTATAGCATTTTTTGTGTTATTAATTTTATTAAAAAATGAATATTGAAAGTGTTGAATCCTACACAAACATTGATGTATGCCATCAATATCACAAATTTAATTGTAAAACTGTCATAAACAAAGTTGTTACTGTACATATGTTCCATTTTCTGAAAGTGTGATAGACCTTTTCTGAATAGCAGTATTTACATTTGTTCAATTTCATGTTTCATTACCTAATTCAGAATTGTTTTAATACACCTCGATAAAATGTATCTCTTTCAATATTATTAAGTCTATATTCTCCTAATGAATTTTTTAACAACATAATTTTGTCCGATTCATATTTGAATATGAAGGAATATTACATTTTAGGACCAATGAACAAACTAAAAATTAGGAAAATGGAAGTAATTTATATAATTTTCATGTTGCAAATGAATGTTTTTTAATTTTTGAATACTAAGTGAATGTTTCTTTCACCATTGTTGTTGAGTTTATGTGGGGCATTTTTATTATATGTGTTCCAGTGCATGTTTCAGAATAATAGCAGTAATAACAAACTCGTACGTTTTGTTGATTTTGTCATTATTGCTATTGCTCTTATTCTGCATTTTACTGACATTATTACCATGCATGTAGAGACAACCTTCATAATGGGTGCACTACTATTTTATTTAGGATAATCATTGCATGATCAAAATGTAACAACAAGTCTACAGAAGATAAATTTATTTTACATAGGAAGAATTGAGAAGAAAATTTATTTAAAATATGAACCTTGTCGTCATGACTATTACATAATATAGTAAAGGACAAAGTGCTGAATGTAAGGCACTAAATATTTGTGGGATGTGTTGGAAGCACTAACATTTTGTGTGAAACAATGGGCTGTTCTGTTTTCTGATACCCATACTATTTTCAAAGAAATAAAAATTATACTGTTAGGGACATGGCTGACTTCTTCCAGTTCAAATTATATGAGAAGTATGATTTTCACAGTATATTCATCTTGCCCATAACAAAATCTGAGAATGTGGCATGATGAACAACAGTATTTTGAGATACAATTCTAGACCTTCACGGGAGTCTCATAGTAATTACTTGTTTTGTAATAGGTCGACCAAGAAGGAAACACAGAACTTCTTATAAGAGCAGTTTGTGATATATTGTGTCAAGTTAGTAATTACAACAATGGAAAATTTAAGATTGTGAGACTGAATGACTGCATCAGGAAAGGTACTTCTAATCACACAAATCACCATGTGAGTGGCACTGAGGCACCTGTACCTGAATATATCGAAAATTCTGTTAATCAGCGATTACAACATGATATTTTCCATTCCGAACTAAGGTAATGTAAATCATTCTTATTTTGTGAAGTAAACCTTCACATGCAAATGCCAAATACACAAAATGAAGTGCAATTTTCGTGATATATTTAAAACTTCAGCATGAATAGCAAGTTTCACCATCTAATTTGTTTTGAGTGTACTTCATTTCTTAATATAAAGCTCAGTGTCTTATGACTAGTGATTTGTGCAATCTTTATTATTTGTTTTCTGTTACTAGATTGGAAAATTAAACCCCACATGTTTTGTATCATCATTTTGTGAAGTAATTAACATGTTTTATCTCTGCCTTGTATTATTTTTCACTTATTTAATGGAATGTTATATATCTGTAAGTTGATGTGAATGGCATGTTCTGTTGACATTGCACCTAATTTCTGCTTGAATATTTATTAAGCATTTATACAAAATACCTTTTCTGTCAAATTTGTTATAGTTGTGTAGTGCATCAGTCAGCCTTTATTCATTTAAATCATGTATTGGTAAATGCTTTAAAATCTAAAAATGTGGACATTTGAATGAATTCTCACTATACTAATTGTATCATTGAAAATAATTACGGCAAAGACTCCGTTTTAAAATGTTGAGTGTTTAATGGATAATAGAGGTACATGTTAATACTCATAATTCGAAACATTAGCCCAAGTAGAGCATTTGAATTAGGAACATCTTGAATTTAAGTGTGCTACTTATCTACCGTTTGCCTATTACTTTGCTTTTTAAGTGATTTCTTGGCCGTTTATCCCTTACATATGCTGATAATACGAGACATTTTTGTGTTTTGTAAACTAAATTATGACTGTGAAATATGGATTATATTTATTAATTTTTCTGCAGATTTGCTATTGTCTGTTGCTCTGCTATTGTCAGTTCAATAAATATTCTTTTCATTTTAAAAATTATTCATATAATTTATTAGATATATCAATAAATACATGGAAATTTGACATATTCATTAGGCTATATTAGACATGGGTTTTGAGAGAGCAAAGCAATTTAAAATTCATTTTTCATGTTGATTACTTCAATAGTTGTGGTTTATGAGAACGTATAATGTTTTTTTTTATGATAGTCCTGTGATGATGATGATGATGATGATGATGATGATGATGATAATAATCAGTTTGAACAATCTTCTGTTAGTCTAAATATTTAGATGCTCATTTAAGTACACGTTAATTGTATAAATATTTCTAATTTTCAGAAACAAATATTCTTTCTCTAAATTATGTTTCCTGAAGAGTATGTTGGTCAAAAATAAGTAAATATTGATTGCGTAGGTATTTTCTTAGGCAGTGCAATTTTTCATATTGTTTGCAAACAAACAAAAATTAAAATAATTTATTACTATTATTAAATGGACTGGGATTCAGTTACAGCAAAATATCCTTGAAATGTACAGTTAATAAAAATTCCTTTATTGTCATAGACGGTACTTGACTGACTAGTTTTTTAGATTAACATTTGAATTATTTAAATCTTTGTTATAAGCAGCACCTTCTTTTGAATTATGTCTTTAAGCTTTGGCATGTTGTGTTACCACATTTTCTCATTTATAAGGTCCCTTTTTCCTCCAAAAATTGGCAATAAAAAAGTTAAAAAATGGAAGGGGACTGATATGCGAGTATCTTGAAATAAAGCGACCTCATAATTCCAAACTTATCTTTAATTTTGCAGTGGATTAGCAAAATTTTAAACATTTTTGCAAATTTACAAAGGATGTACAACATTTTTCACAATTTTCATTAAAAAACCGCCCTTAACTGCCCTTCATTCGAGAAAATGTAGTATTTGTTAAAATGTAGTCTCGCCCCCTTTCCATATAAATTCAGGTGTATTATACACCAAGAGTGAAGTAACAACACTTTTATAGAATGAATGAGTAAAACTTTAAAAGCAAGAGTACTAATTCATTCCCAATTTAAGATGTGTGTGCCATAGAAGTCACGTAACTTTTCTTTGGTAAATAATTAAATTAATTACACAGGGACCCAGAAAATAAATAATCAGATTCAAAGACTTGACACACATTTCCTTATGTATATGTCGACATCCTGTACTGAATCTGAAAGCAGAATTGCACCATCTGCATCTAGTTGTAGTTGTAGAGGAAGTAGTCCAATCTTTAATTAATGACATTAGTCTGAAATAACATTTTTCCCATAAATGCTGAAAATTGTGTTGGATTGAGAAAGAGTTAATCATGAAACTTGTAGGAAAAATGTAGCAAATGACTGTTGCCTATTTTATGAAATTTCAGTAGTTACATTACAACAATTCAGTAGCATGCAAGAATTTGCACCATACAAGGCTAAAAATTATGCAGGCAAAATTATGGTTTTTGATTTATTATTTTCTCAGAAGTGATAATTATTACAGCAGTTTTGCTTACAAAGAAACTTTGTATTGCTGTAAAACTTTGTATTTTTTTTTTTCTTTTCTTCATGCCTTCTTCTCCCCATCTTAATCTTATTCTTCTGCTTCTGTGTCTTCTATTTATGAAATTTCAATTGTGCTATAGGCTTTGTAAATATCTCTCGTGTTTTGGAAATTCTCAGGCAAATTCTCTTATCACTTCATGACTCTTAAAATTATAAAGGATTTGCATAGGACTTGATAAGACTTAATAAGATGAATGATATGATAAGAATTTTAAAAATACAGGCACCATATGTGTTTTATTTAAAGCAGTAAAGTGACAGATGAAAATTATTTTGAGGCAAGATTTAAAAAACTTTTTTTTTTATTTTACTAATATTTTCATATTTTTCATTTGGTGTATGAGAAGTGATGAAGTCCTTTTTTTATATAGAGAAATCCTTTACCACAACTACCCCGTTTTGTCATAATGAAGTTAAAATGGTATAGATAAACTAACAATCTTGAGATTGTTTATGTGTACCTACAATATATTTTATATTAACACAAATATACTATTATACTCGTGGACTTGATTTCTGGCAGAAAGCGATGGGGCAGCATTCTGGTACCTTAGGTACAAAATAGTGAAAAAATAAACAAACTAAAACCAGAGGCTAACAGTTCGATTTTTAGTTCCAACAACTTTTGTAAACTCAAAATTAAATAATTTTCTCTCTTCTGTATCAGATCTACGATGTTATAAAATTATTACTAAAAAATGATATAATACAATTTAAAGACTTTTTTTATTTCTTTTTCTTATTGTTATTATTATTATTTCTTATTATTTTATTCACTTACAGCCAGCGCTATCACCGCCAGTCATTTTTATTAAGCACGATTTCTAATTATTAAATGAAAATCAAATTTACACGATGCTCCTAATTAGCATCGTGTAAATGACTGACATCCTCGTCAGCTTCGATGTCACGTTTCTGTTCACAATGGTTCCGGTGGACGAGGCGGCCACTGTCATTCACAGTAAACTTTGCTCCCGTGGGCTCACTCCGGAATGGGCCGACTTAGCTGAGTTCTGTCTCACGTCCA